GTTTCCACCTGTTAGCCGGGGATGGTCTCGATCTCCTGACCTTGGATCCCCGTCTCGGCCCCTAAAGTGGCTGGGATTACAGGCTTGTTTTTTTGTTTTGTTTTGTTTTTGAGACTACTGCAGTGCAGTGGGTGCCATCCTGGCTAACTGTAACCCTCGCCCCCCTAGGTCAGGATTTTCCTGCCCCTTAGCTCTGAGCAGCTGGGATTTACAGGCCCATGCCACCACGCTGGCTAATTTTTGTTGTTTGTAAAGACCACGTTGGGTTAGGCTGGTCTCAATACTCCCTGGACCGTCAGGTTTCACCTGCCTCGGCTCCCCCAAGGGCCTAGGTACAGCGATGAGGCCAGCGCGCGTGGCGCGAGCTTCCTTTGTCTGGAATAGAGAATCTTTTTTTTTTTTGAGAACGGAGTCTCGCTTTGTGCGCCCAGGCTGGAGTGGCGTGGCCGGATCTCCAGCTCAACTGCAAGCTCTGCTCCGGTTCACGCCATTGTCTGCCGCGCCTCCCAAGTAGCTGGGACTACAGGCGCCTGGCCCCTTGCCCTGGCAGGTTTTTTTGTATTTTATCAGTAGAGGACGGTTTCACGGTGTAGGCGCAGGGATGAGCCAGGATGGTCTCGATCTGCTGACCTCGTGATCCGCCCGTCTCGGCCTCCCAAAGTGCTGGGATTACAGGCTTGAGCCACCATGCTGGCCCAAGAATAGAATATTTAAACCATTCTGTGGCTATATCATTTTTAGTTAAAGTTTTTAAGGTTTTATTCTGTTTACCATGTGCAGGAAAGAAAAAAATGGTATCAGGTTAAACGTGAAACTTTGTTGTAGTACAGGTTATTTCAGTAGGAAATACAAGGGAAAAAATAAAATTTTTTAAAAATGACAGTTATAGTGGTTTGGGGCAATTGGATAATTTGAAGTTTTTAGTAGTCAAGGGCATGTTTCTTTCAGAGTCTAGAGAAAATTTAGGTAAAGAAATGAAAAAGGTGAGAAATGACAAGCTACTTTCTGTCATGTAGCGATACTGGAAAGAGAAATGGTATGATGGTCCTTTTGTTTTTAGGATTCCAAGCATAAAAGAACGGACAGATCAATTTTATGTTGTTTACGAAAAGGAGAATCTGGCCAGTCATGGCCAAGGTTAACAAAAGAAAGGGCAAAGGTAGGTTTTGTTTTCCTTTTTTGAGAAGTTTGATATTTTTATTGTAGGTAATAAAAGATACACTTATTTGATGTAAGGAATATACTGCTGTGTTTTTGTTTCACAGCTAAGTATAAAGCCTCATGTTCATGTTTTTTGTCTACTCAGTTTTAACTTAATACGAAGTGTGTTGAGAAAATCAGTTATTAACTGGTGTAGAATCTTTTGCACTTAAGAGATAGACTTTGCATAAATTACTCAGCTATCAAATGGGAGGGGACAAAGCCCGGTGAAAAAGTAAATTAATCAACTGAAAATAGTTCTTACTAGTAAATTTGTTTTCAAAAGGTATGTTTAACAATTTTCAGTGTTTTTTTTTTCAAAACCAGGGTCTCTCTTTGTTACCCAGGCTGGAGTGCAGTGACACGATCTCAGCTCACTGCAGCCTCAGCTTCCCAGGCTCCAAGTGATCCTCCCCGTTCTGTCCCCCAAGTAGCTGGGACTGCAGGGGCATGCCACGACACCTGGCTCATTTTTGTATTTTTTGTAGAGAAGGAGTATCACAATCTTGCTCAGATTGGTCTTGAACTTCTAGGCTCAAGCGATCTCCCCACCTCAGCTTCCCGAAGTGCTGGTACTATAGGCATGAGCCACCACACTGGCCTAATTTTTTTTTTTTTTTTTTTTTTTAGATAGTCTCATGCCACTCATGCGAGAGTGCAGTGGTGTGAACATGGCTCTCTGCAGCCTCCACCTGGGCTTAAGCGATCCTCCCACCCACTTCAGCTTCCCAAATAGCTAGGATTATAGGAATGTGCCACCACGCCCAGGAACTTTGTTTTTTTGTTTTTTCCCCAGATACAGGATACACTATTGCTCAGGCTGTCTCGAACTCCTGAAGGATTACACAACCAGTCTTTCCACCGTGGCCGCCCAAAGTGTTGGGGTTACAGGTGTAAGCCACCCCATTTAGCTTAGTCTATTCTTTGTGTGCTAATTACATGCCCTCATAAAAATACAAAGTCGCAGTTCAAAAAATGTTGTTTTGCCAGGGACCAGTAGCCGTGTGCCTGTTGTAGTTAAAAGCGACGCTGGAGGGTGAAGTGGGAGAATTACTTGCGCCCAATTCTGGGTTGCAATGCCATATGTCAGTCAGGTAGCCATGCTAAGTTAACATCAGTATGGTGGTGTCCCAGGAAGCGGGGACCACCAGGTTGCTTGAAGAGTTAACAAGACCCTTGATCAGAAATGGAGCTGATCAAAACTCACATTGATCAATAGTGGGATTGCACCTGTGAATGCTTGCTGCACTCCAGCCTGGACAACACAGCAAGACTTGGTCTCTTTAGAAGAAAAGAAAATGCAGTCTTAAGGTTCATGCCAAATGCAAATTAACCTAACCTTAGGGTGATGTTTGTATTGATTTATAGCTTAATTGGCTTAGTGTCGACTTCAATAATTGGAAAGACTGGGAAGATGATTCAGATGAAGACATGTCTAATTTTGATCGTTTTTCTGAGGTAAGTTCCATTAAATGGATGTCTCCCCACTCGAAGTACACAGTACCTGTCTGTAGTCAATTTAATTTGGTTTTGGGCACATATTCATGATGCGTGTTATTTTTAAGACCATTTTAATGATTTTAAAAGGAATCAGTGTTAACTGCGAAAGTTAATGTATTAAGACTAACACAGCTAGTTTGCTAATTTCCTAATTTCATCATTGGGATTTTTTTTTTTTTTTTTAAGCTTGATTGCAGTAGTTGACTTGAATTTTGAAGCCATAAAATAAAACTATAAACTTTTGACCAGGCGCTTTGGGAGGAGGCCAGCACTTTGGGAGGCCAAGGCTGGCGGATCACGAGGTCAGGAGATCCAGACCATACTGGCCAACATGGTGAAACCCCGTCTCTACTAAAATACAAAAAAAATAAGCTGGGCGTGGTGGCGTGTCCCTGTGGTCCCACCTACTCCTGAGGCTGAGGCATGGGAATTGCTTGAACCCTGGAGGCAGAGGTTGCAGTGAGCTGAGATCGTGCCACTGGACTCCAGTCTGGTGAAAGAGCGGGACTTGGTCTAAAAAATATGACTATAAACTTTTAAACGCAAGAATCATAGGCTGGGTGCGGTGGCTTATGCCTGTAATCCCAGCACTTTGGGAAGCCGAGGCGGGCGAATCACGAGGTCAGGAGTTCCAGACCAACCTGACCAACATGGCGAAACCTCCCCTCTACTAAAAATACAAAAATTAGCTGGGTGTGGTGGCGTGTGCCTGTAATGCCAGCTACTCAGAAGGCTGAGGCAGGAGAATCGTGTGAACCCAGGAGGTGGAGGTTGCAGTAAGCCGTGATCGCTCCACTGCACTCCAGCCTGGGCGACAGAGCAAGATTCCATCTCAAAAAAAATTAATAAATAGGGCTGGGCATGTGACTCACACCTGTAATCCCAGCATTTTGGGAGGGTGAGGCAGGCGGATCACCTAAGGTTGGGAGTTCGAGACCAGCCTGACCAACATGGAGAAACCCTGTTTCTACTAAAAATACAAAATTAGCCAGGCATAGTGGTGCATGCCTGTAATTGCAGCTACTAGGGAGGCCGAGGCAGGAGAATCACTTGAACCCAGGAGGTGGAGGTTGCGGTGAGCCGAGATCGCCATTGCACTCTAGCCTGGGCAACAGGAACAAAACACTGTCTCTAAATTAATAAATAATTAAAATTACAAAAAAATAGCTGGGCGTGGTAGTGCACCCCTGTAATCCCAGCTCCTCTGGAGGCTAAGGCAGAGTTGCTTGAACCCAGGAGGTAGAGGTTGCAGCGAGCTGAGATCACACCACTGCACTCCAGCCTGGGCGACAGAGCAAGACTCTCTCAAAAA